AGTTAGTCCACGTTGAAAATTGTAGAGAATAATCGCGCGAAAATGCTCACGGTTCAACTCCATAACTTGGCCTAAACAAAATCTTATAACTTAGTGTAAACAGCACAAATCACGCTCAAATTTCGCAACATAACCTCAAAATAGTCAAACTTTACGGTAGTGGTGTCAGTTGCTAGATTGCTACACTAGTGTTGCCAAATCTCAAAATATAAAAGGCAACCCTCGTACTAGCATGAACGAAGCGTTTCAGCTCAGGATGCGGAACCAGATATCGTTACAATGGCGAAAGGAATTGGTAACGGTTTCCCGTTGGGTGCCGTAGTGACCACGGAAGAAGTAAGCTATTTTCTGCGTGTTCATATCAACCAATTTTTAACTATTCATCTAGATTGCTGCTTCGTTCGGAAAGGCATTATATTTCAACACGTATGGCGGAAATCCTATGGCTTCTGTAGTAGGGAAAGCTGTTCTCGAGGTAAATTTCATGCGCTTTCGTTGCCTGTCTCTTCCGTTGATTACCAAATTACAATCGACTATAACTGTTTCCTTCGGTAGTACATTGCCAGAAAGCCAAGGTTTCTAATTTTCGACTTTTTGTTCTATCTCGCCCGGACTTAAGTTTTGTCCTTATTTCGCCAACCTGTTACGACAGAACTTCTATTTGTTTTTGTGAGGATATTCTCTTCGAAGAGTCCAATATTTGATTACCAACATTCCGTCATTAGTGAGCATTTGTGGTCTTGTTTTCATTTGTTGAACGGAGGATCTCTGCTCTTAATCAAATGGTTGAATAATCTTGTCGAGTAATCGCCTTGTTAGGTTGCAAACCAAAGCTTTCAAATTGACCTGCCCTCTTGAATCACTATCAGACCAAATATTCATTATTAGAGCCGTTCTCTCTTCAAGTATACGCCAGTCTATCGTAAGCGGAATTGATGGGCTCCAAGAGCACTGTATTTGATTTGGCTGTTGATTTCAGTGAGGCGAATATGAGCGCAAGAACCATATAGGAAAAGCGGCAGATGCCTGAGCTGGTTATAAGGGATCTGACTCTCCTGATAGTCGTCCAGACCTTCCACCCAGTCAGTGACTGTGATCTCGGGGCAGAGTTTGCTAGAATAGTAAAACAGAGTGCTTGCGAATGAGTAAAATATCACTAAGTCGAACGGCAAGCTTTTTTAAATGAGAATAGCAGGCGTGGTGTAATAGCAAAAGATTGGCCAAGACCCATAACGACTTCATTTTCATTGATCCTCATAATTTTGGTACATTTGTCTACTTTTACAATTTTTAAGGTGATCGAAGAGGAGAAACTTCAGCAGAACTGTGCAACTGTCGGGGATTACTTCCTGAAACAGCTCTCTTCCATCAACAGCCCTCTCATCGGTGACTTGCGAGGGAAAGTGAGGAACTTTGCAGTCTCAACCTATAACTCGTGATGAGATGATCGTCCATCAAAATTTTGCAAAAACATTTCGTTCAGGGTCTGATGATCGGAGTCGAGCTTGCTGATGAGAACGGTGGACCACTGGCTGTCAGTCGCGTGGCAAACATTTTCGAGGGTATCAAGGTAGGTTTCTGGAATAAACGGAACTTGGTTGGACCTTCTTAGCTGTTTCCTACATCCATGTACTTCATTTTACTGCGGATTTTTATGTCCCGTCATACTCTACACATAAATCGAGAGGGCCAAACTATCATTTTATCATTCAGGAACGAGGAGTATTGGTTGGCAAGGGAGGCATCAACGGCAACGTTCTCCGTATTGCACCTCCAATGTGTATAACAAAGAGTGATGTCGACACATGCGTCTCAGCCATAGCGAATGCGCTCAAGCAAGAACTTCAATAGACTGATGTTGTAACCACAAATACTAACACTTTGTGTATTTGTTGTTGCTGGCTCCGCTACTACTTTTTGCGGGTTTCATCCTTTTACCTATCATACTATTCACTACCTGTGGAATACTCTCTTCACAACTCATAGTTTCCAGAATTCAGATTTCTACTAGGGTTGCTATTCTTTCACCGTTGACTGTTCATATTGTCTACCGAAGTTATAGATGTTGATTGCTATGTGGAAAAAACCTCCTTCATAAAAGTTTCTCACAACCGGAAGGGAGTGAGATGTATTGTCCAAAGAATGCCGCTCCGGGTGTGCTTCGTTGCGCGCGTCCGACTAAACTAGGTCACGCCGCAGCCGTCGCATGCGGCAGACCCGTCCGCGGTACTTGACGGATATCGCAGTTGTCTGTGGGGCATACGATTTGCGCTTCATCCACGGCAGTCAGCTCAAAAAGAAAATAGCACGAACAATGCCAGTCATTCGCTCCACTGACATTTGGTGGTACTGTAATGTTATCTCGAGACCTCAGCGGCTGCTTTCAGGGCCCGCCACCCGGCTTTCCGAGCGCGATGCCGCCGGCCAGTGGACTGCACCTACTTCCGATGGACGCGCGGAATGGACGTTCCCCAGTCGCACCGCTTTAACGCTCCACCCTTGATGCGTTGCGGCTAATTGATTTGTGGGTACATAGGTCGAGCTCGAAAGCGGCGACGTGTGCATGGCGTTCTGTCTAGCTCTAGTACTGGTCCCAGACAAATACGCAACTTTGGGCAACATTATGAGCTGATCAGGGAGTACGGTTTTTTATTGTCGTCGCATCACTCACCCACGCGTGTCCGTTGCCAGGGCACGAGCCACTCATGCATAAAATCTTTGATAGTGGTCTCGCGGCTTCGAACTGCAACTATCATAGTCATGTGGTGAAACCAGGCCGCAATCATTCGAATCTGACATTTATCTACGTCCCACGCTCCCACCCCACTCAATTTTTGCGACAGTCTTGTGCATGCCTATCGGGCGTAATTCACACCTCCCAGCAACCCAACCTCAACCTATATCAATCGTCTGTATTTTCGCCGAGTGTTGATGAGTGTAACTTCCAAATTCAAGCGCTTTTCGGGTACATAGCGTGGAAAGTGTTTGCGCTTCTGAACTTAAATAGTAGTGGTAAGTAGAATAAAGAGAAGGGATTGGAAGCGTGGGACAGAGCGCATGTCCCTACTATCACATTCATAAGGTGTCTAGCCGGGCTGATTTCACGAAAAATGAAGGTGGTGTGTGACCGCTGTTACCGGCAGAGAACCCCAGTGTAATAGCTACGTAAAAAAGGATTGGAACGAATTAGTATTACGGTCATTTCTATAGCCAGAATTCTGTAATCATCTATGGCTACGAAGAGCTATAACACTGATAAATACCAAATGTTTATTGACACACTCAAAGAGCAGTTCAAGAAAAACATCTTCACAGTCCAGTGGTAAATAAACATCAGTAGGAATCCACGTAACTTGTCGCCAGACATCGCTCTACAGTTCCGTTCATTCTGGCAGCCGATCGTTTTCCCATCTTCGCTGCCTTCCCCAAACTTGGTCAATCTTCTTGAAGCTGATCAAATGGTGATTTTCTTAATCATGCCACAAAATGGATTACAGGGTTGCTTGATTAAAGCACACTGGCCTTTAGAACTCTTTAGTCAAATGATTTTCTTCTAACTGAGAACTCTGAAATCAAATGAATGTTCGAGAACGGTGTTAATGTCACTTCGCCAAAAACAGGTCACCGCATTAGCGGTAACTGCTTCGTATGATGCCGAGCTCAGGGTTTAGAAATGAAACGTTCTGACACAACTGCCATCCTGCTAGTGGCAGTCTGACGGTGACCGGACCCTTCATATTCAAACCGGAGTACTAGATGGATTCAGTGAAATGGCAATCTGTGGCTTATGTGTTCCATAGCCTTCACAAAGACATAGTAACTATTTTATTGGAGCCATTGTGCTCTCAGCAGCTTATTTCGAGGAAAATCTACACATTCGATTTTCTTGTTCTTCTAAGACGGAGAAAATATTGGAGGCAAATCTTATCTGTAAAGTCGGTGCTTGACGACAAATTAATGATGTTTATTTTCTATGGCAAACAAATGCATGACCATCCCTCAAGCTGCAGGAAAGGTGCCGGAAGAGAATTGACCAATCTTCATGACAGCTGCTCTTTGAGCGGATTCAGTTTTCCGCAACTGGTTAAGTAGATGAGCATGTCTGCCTTTGTGCGTGTATGTGTATGTATTTTCATGTGTATGTGTAATTCCATAATCTCCATGTGTAATTCACACCTACCTTTGGAGCGTTCAAATTCGGGAAAGATGAAGATAACAGAATGGGATGTGGGGCGAAGTGATACCAAATGAAAGCGGCAGATAGGAGACCATGGACTGCACTGTTATGCTTTTGGCAATCTAGCAATGGGCTTTAGAAGCCCAGCACGCTGTTAGAGTTATGGTAATTGAGGTACTGGGTGATGGAAATTGATAACTGGTAGATAAGAAGATTAGCAGGCCCCCAGATTCAGTGCTCCCCTTATTATAGTGGACTTAAAAGTAGTGAAGGTTATACACAACCTTATCAGATCTGCTTGTTGACAAAAAGCACTGTCATTCAGTGGGAATTGGCCAAGAATATTCCAGTTAGCTAGGGCGATTCCTTAGGTTCGTTAGGCGCTTCCCATCTACCATATAGTCCCGACGCTCGAAAAAGTGTAACAGTAGATTCGCATTCAAATATCCACGGATAATAGTATAAGACGTGCGGGTAGCAATACTTTTTCATTATGCGAAGGTGATAGATCAGTTCACTTTCGTTGCATGGGGGGGGGGGGCAACCATATTAGAATTTTGGTACAATCGATGAAAACACAACGACTTCACCTTGTTAATGGCTCATATCACTGATGTGATGGCATGATCTTCCTATGACGCTTCCCTGATTTTCAACAGGAAAAATTCCGTTCTAGTCCATGATATCGTCGCGTGCGCTGGCGGTATAGCCAAGCCGCGGGCCGCATCAGGTTCTCCCAAAACGCCTGACTGAATACAATGATAAAACATGTCGCGATCTAAGCAATAATTCACCCGAAATCAAAAATTGACTAGGGTAAGTCTCGTTGTAGCATACATCTCGCTTGGGATTCCTGAAAAACTGTTGATACACGAACGTCATGAAAAGCAGTGAAGTATACAGGTAAGTACCGAAGGAAAAAAATAAAACAGCAAAAGAATCGATAAAAAGAGAAACAGATTCTATCAGTGATATGAACACAATATCACGATTGCCTTGTGTTTTTATCGAGATTGCTCCTGGTACGGCTCTTGTATACATTCCATAGTTCGCAACGTATGTATGCATGCTTAGAAGGCGTACATCCCTTCCTGAAGAAAATTTTCAGAGCGCCACCCAAGCACTAAAGACTACTTCAGCTTTCGAGGTCACTAGGAAAGTTCCTGAAGACAGCCTCTTCAGAACATTGTTATCCGTGTCCAAAGGCAGCCTTTTCCTGTGCATCACGATTTTCGAGACNATGGTAATGCAGAAAGGTTAATGGTTCCAAATTGAGCAGCTTTGGGGACGACGACATAAGCAACGTCTATCAAAGTACATATTTCCTTTGTGAAGAAAAATAAAAGGAATCAATTAGTATTACGTTCTGTTTTGATGAGTGGTTCGCTCTTATATCACCTCTTACCAAGACTCTCCTTTCCCCGATCTAGTAGGACACGACTTAAGTTTTGTTAAAAAAGACGTCCACCAAACAGCTAATGAAGCATCTGGAAAAGCCAGAAGATATGCCCCTTCACTTCATGTGCATCTACACTGGCAAATTCTTTGAAAGAAAAGCTTCTGTTCATCATTTCACTATTGTATCCGAGTTTGTGTAAGATCTCCGCATCCCCAGCATTTCTGGATTATACGTATATGTAGAGTGAAGGGCAGAGGGGTCTATATTATCTTCAAACATCAAACCTGATAGCAAAATGAAGGACTGAAAAAATCAAAAAGTCTACCAAGGCCGAGTAATCATTTGTCGTGCATGCTCTCCCAAAAATGATATTCTGAGGACTTGAAACCTTATACACTGGATAGACGATTACTTCAAGATCAGCATCCAATCACTCATAATAACAATCAGACAAAACGAGTGGGTTTTTTTCGTGACGGGTCCCTCTAAGAGGTGCCCACAACAATACCATGGTTACCAGTAAAATGCATGGGAAGGGTAACATCTGGAAATCGCGCAGAATAGCATTGGAAAAGCTTGAGAAGTACAGGATGTTCGCGGACTTTCTCACTTGCTGATACCGACCGGTATCACCCGATATTGCTGCAAAATCAGTCTTTTTTAATATCATTAGTAGGTGGTGCCTACGCCAACAGTTGACCACTATTCCACCTTCTGCTTCGCTTCTCGAGGGCCCCTTCTACTACAACAACAACACATGTTCTTTCCTTTGTTTGGTGTGGAACTGTGCACATATTTAATTTTCGCAGACCTTTTTTACCGGGCCCGATGCTCCAAATGTTGAGGAAATGTAGAGGGAGCGATATTCACCGCTGACTGGGTGTTGACAGACGTGTGTCTGTCTTATTTTCCCCACCAAAACTTGTGGTTATGTCAACCGATTCGAGTGTAAGTTGCCCTCTTCGACAGTTCTGGTTTCTGACTAGTTTGTCTGGTTTCTGCGAAATGTCATTACTGCACTAATGTTTCTCATGCGCGCTTCTTGTCCAATGCACTGTTCCCTTTGAAGGCACATTCTGCGATAGCAGGTTGTAGATAATGGGCCCTTACATGAAAGAGGATGTCTTGAGCTGTCCATCACTGGAGAAGAACCTAAAAGAGATCTGAGGAGAATCCGCGAAGTGAGGTTTTCGCTGTTGCAGTTGATTTCGGGAAAATATGAGAAGCGGAATATTCAGATGTTGCATGAGCTCTCGGTACGACATCGCAAGTGAT